CCTGCGGCGCCGCTGCCCTGCCGCGCCCCGGGGCCAGGCCCTTTGCCCCCGGCCCCGACCTGGGCCTGCTTTACTTCCCTGCCCGCCCCGGTGTCGCTGTGCCAGCTCCGTCCCCAGGTCCCGTGGCTCCGTCTCTGCCCCGGGAGCTCCGAGCTTGCTTCCCCTTTGCCGGAGGGGCGGCTGGGGGGCAGCGGCAGGTGGGGGGAGCCGAGCTGTTTGACCTGGGTCGCGGGGAGGCCTTGGTGTAGCCGAGAGCCTGTGTCGTGACACTCAGTGTTTGAGGTCAATGCTTTTTTCCTAGACCTTCCCTCTTTTTCCCTATTGTACAGCGTAATGCTGTTGTACGGAGCAAGCTGGCTAGATACGTTTGTATGCTCTGCCATCTGTATGGTGCCGTGGCACTTAACGATAGCTTTTGAACACACTCAAAGCTTAAGAAGTGTCTTTATATGCCATGGGAGCTTTCATGCTTTCATGGAGGAATGTGCTGAGCCCTACCCTACAGCAACCCCGCCTTGCGAGCACCAGTGATTAGCTGAGATTAGTGTCTCTGTGCCTTTGGTAATCGGGATTTATAATAAGCACTTACGAGAACAGCCTCGGTATTGGGGAGCTGCAGAAGGAGAGTGTCAGAACAATGCAAAGGGAAGGGGCAGTACAAAGATTTTAAATTTACACTGGGATGCGGAGACTGTAGGACAGTTTCTGTCTTAACCATGTCATGGCTGAGAGGCCTTTTTCAGTTTTTAGGGTGGCTGCTTGTCACTTGGGTGACCTTGGACAGTCTTTTCTGTTCTGGCCAAGTTTCACCTTTAGCTGAGGGGGATCACACTATCACCAAGTTTGTGTGCTGTGCTGGATGTCCAATATCAGCAGAAACTGTTCAAAGAGGAATGGTTGAGTGCCCCGAGGCAGGAGGGGGATTGGGAAAGTCAGTAGGAGGGGATTTCTGATTGACAGTATTTGAGTGTGAGAGAGAAAGAGAGAAGGTCTTACTGGAGTGATAACAGGGATGATTATCGTGGCAGCTTTGAGGGTCAATTAGCAGGTACGACAACAACCACAGTCTTTTACAATGTACTCTAAAGCCACAAGTATTTCAAGTCAGCATAGGTGAGGAATTTTTGCCTCTGTCAACATTTTTTGCATGGTCCATCGTGATTTGAGAACATGTGCTTTTACTTTTCACTGTTTAGCTGTGTGCTCTCCGTTTCCCAGTGGTGGGGAGTGCTGTGACCTGCTGGGTTTTGCTTTGCAGACAGCGTTACCTTTTAAGGACACTGTGCAGGAAACCATGGCTGGGGGAGGCTGCGGGGAAGTGTGCTTCTGTCCTGTGGCCCCCGTTGGGGCTGAGGTTCATTAATACATTAGATCTGTAATCGGATGTCTGTAGAAGGAGGAGAAATTGTCATGATTAATTAATTAGAGGTCCTGAGAAAAGCATGAGATTTCTCAGAGGTCTTAGATGCTATTTTGGGAGATGGCAGCAGGTGGCAATCTCTCCCTAAAAAATCTCCTGTGGAAGAGTCCGAAGCTTGTGAATGTTTCTCGGGAAGCCACAAGAGGTTGCTAAAGAAGGACTTTTTCCTGCTTTAAGGATGGTGAGTCCTGTCCTGAATACAGACATGCACAGCATATAGAAGGATTGTGTCTCTATGAGTAAAACTCAAATCAGGCCTTTTTTTCCTTGCAAACTCAGAGCCCACTGATTTAAGGAGGAGGTGCTGCTACATCCCTGCAGAACCTCAGGTGCAGTGGAGCTGAACTGATAGGAGGTGCTTAAGAGATGGTGTGATACTGTGATCTAGGCTTCTTATGCATCTCCTGTAGGCCTTCTCAAGTCTCTTGGCACTACTGCTGCTTTGCCTTGAGCACCAGGGACACAATGTACCTGTGCAATACCTATGATCCAGCATTTTTACAGTTGTTCACTGACACTGAGCTGCTCTAAATGGTGCCTTGTTTGCTTTCCTGTGCCTGGGTGAGTTATCATGGGCAAGACACCTTACCTTCAAGTTCTGCCCTGGCTTACCTTTGTGAAAGTGAACAGTAACGTTGACTGTCTTATTGAAAATGATCAATTGTCTAGCTTTTCTTGTCAATAGAGCAATACTTTTCTGCACATTTTTGGGGGCTTGTCTTTGATCTCATGTTAAATGCAAGTTTTGACAGCCATATAGTCAGTCCAGTACAGAGGGTAAGGAGTGGGAGCTCATACCACTCATCTGGCTAAGTTTGTGGTGGTTGCACTCTTGATTGCTTCCTTACCAGTTAAATTAGTAAAGGGAAGAGGTTTCTTGGCCATTGTCTGATAGTGTTCGGAGGGGAGTTGACCTCTCAAAAGCCAAGAAGCAGTGAGGCCTGTATGTACAGCCAGCTCCTATAATTGATCGATTGTAACTGAAGGAGGAAGCAAGAAAGAGAGTGGTAAGGAACACACCACCTGTCCTGCTGCCCCATGTCAGTGGAGTCAAGTGGTGCTTTGTGCAGTAGGCTGTTGCTGGCAGGTTCACCTGATTCCTCCTGGGGATATTTTTATTGAAGCAAGGCAACCCGGACAGCGTTGCTGTGCTAATATGTGAGACAGATGAGTGGGCGCTGGAACTTCTTGTCAGAGAGAATGTGATGGAGCCCTAACGAGTACTCCACAAAGTGTGTGCTAGAAGATAGGAGAGCAAGCTTTAGAAGTCTGTTATGGTGATGAGGAGGAGATGATCCTTCAACCTCTCTTCCTGGGCTGCATGAGGAAATAGTTGCACTTGTCTTACTGTACAGGAGTTCTGTTCAGATTGCTCTGGGCCTCAGCTCAGTTGGGGGGAGGTTAATGGGAGAATAGCAATAGGCACTTTGAGAGATACTACTGCAGACTAATGCTAAAAAGCATTAAATAAATTCTAATCAAACAGCGTGTCCTGATAGTGCATGGGGGAGGGAGAGGATGTCCTCAGCTTCTGACTGGTAGTGGAGGAGAAACCCTAAAAAGCGTGTGGAGTTGTTAGCTGGGAGGTCTAAGCCCAAGAAGCAATGCTGACCAGATTTCCCTTTGTGTGGGCCTCAGGAGGCCAGAGCTTCGTATAAGCCACAAGTTAGCAGCTCTGGTAAGCTAGAGCTAAAAGACTGCACTGCAGCCAAACTCAGCAGGTTTAGGCACTGCTCATGAGAGTTATTCCACTGGACCGTGAACGAGATGTCCACACATCATTTATGTTACTGTCATGCCTAGAAGGCCTGGCCGTAGTCTGGGATGGAGAGGTGCTGGGTGCTTTCTCCTCACAAAAAGGGGATCCTACATGGAGCAATAATTTGTATTTATATTCAGTTTTGCAATTTCCTGGCTGCCTGCTGTTGGTTGACTTTCAATTGTCCCGCTACATTATTGCCCAACCAATCTCTCTCCAGTGACGTGGGGGAGTTGTGTTCCCGTTTTACAGGTGTCAGTTGATCTATCCAGAGTAAATAAAAAGAATTGTTGTCAGAGCTGAGATTGAAACCCGGTAGTTACTTCTGTATCACTTCTCACCTTCTACCATTTACAAACTCAAGCAAAAAGTCAAAGTAATATTTTCCTTTCGCTTCTGAGAGAAATGAGAACAAAGTACATTAACTGAATTGATGTGCAATAGCATTGCACTTTGTTTTCTATTGCCACGTCACTTTTCTGCTTGGAATTTAGCCTGCCCTGAGATTCCTTCTGCTCCGTTTTTGCTTATGTATATGCTGGCATCAGCTTGTTCAGAGAGAGCAACTAGTGCTTTGCAAATACGTGTGTTTAATTTCTGCAGCTGATTTAAACCAGCCTGGTCTGAAGGCTTGAGTATGCTGTTTAATTTAGATCCCCTTCCTTTTACTGAAACTCTCCTGTGACCAGGGTATGCAAAAAAGACAGTTATATATAAAAAAAATCTGGGATCAGACACCTGGGATTTTTAATGAATTCTAAAATACCCTAATTCGTTCCTGTGAAACTGTACTCACTAGCTCAGGAAGTAACAAGTAACTTCTCTCTGTTGAGAGCAATTTGTTTGCATGATGCCTTCATAAGGGGGATATTTTGTTACTGGTGTGATTATTTTCAAGTTGATTTTATCCAGCTATTCTAACCACTGTGAAATTTCTTTCAGAGCCTAGAAAATGAAGCTAAAGGAAGTTGAGCGAACAGCTGTCCAGACATGGAGTCCAGCAAGCAACCACCCCATTTATCTAGCAACAGGTAAAGTTCTTGACAATTTGTGAAAATTAAAAGTATGAGTCACAGAGAGATTTTGTGTAGAGTTGTGTTGGCTTTAAGTTTCAAGAATTCCCGCCTTAATAATCTCCAGAAAGCTTACAATCAATATACTAAAAACATTACAGCCTTATTTTTTTTTTAAAAGTGACCTGTGGAGGATTATTTGTAAGCCCAGCTTTGACACTTTCAAGGCCAGGGATTTTTTTTCAAATGGTGAATACATGGCTTTTTTGATCTAACTTCTAATTAAGTCTGTATGAACACCTGCTTACTATAAAAATTAAAACCAAATAAGGTTACTTACTTGGTATGTCTGTGGGGAAAAAAAAGCTCATTCTAATCATGTTCATTTAAGCTATATTTTATTTTCATAGAATCATAGAATGGTTAGGGTTGGAAGGGACCTCAAAGATCATCTAGTTCCAAGCCCCCTGCCATGGGCAGGGAAACCCTCCACTACACCAGGTTGCCCCAAACCTCATCCAACCTGGCCTTGAACACTTCCAGGGATTTTGTTGGTCTTCAGGCATTATCTTGTGGTTTGACAATCAAATAATACAAATTTCCTCTGCCTAAAGTTACATGGTTTTGTTATTCAATTTTCAATATTTCTACAAAACCTTAGATTTGCATTTTGTTGATGTTATTCATTATTCACTATTGTTATAATAATTTCATTTCCTGAAGCACAAAGTCAGCCTGTTCACTGAGTTGACAATGAATGAGTTTAGTGTCTGTGTGGAACCAACAGCATGGGTTGTCTGCCCAACATGAGAACTAGTCAGCTCTGTGTCCTGCCTGGGTTGTGCAGCACTGCTATATTGTTTTGCTTTTTTTTTTTCAGGAATGACTGTCAAAAGAAAGTGACAGAAGTTCAGCTGTGTCCTGGTTTAACCCAGCTGGCAACTAAATGCCACACAGCCACTGGTCACTTTCCCACACCCCTGGGGATGGGGAAGAGAATTAAAGGGGAAAAGGGAAGGAGACTCGTGGGTTGAGATAAGAACAACTTAATAATAATAATTTATTATTATTATAGCATTATTACTTTTAATTTTATATTAATATATACACGGAATAATATATACAAACAAGTGATGTGCAATATAATTGCTCACCGCTTGATGATGAACATCTATCCCATCAAGTGGTCCTTAAACAGATAAATCCTGACACCACAATCCCAGACAAGTGAGAGACCTGAAAAGAGAGCGAGAGAGACAGACCAAGATTTTGAGACGGAAGAGCAAGAGCTTCTTCCCAGTCAACCCTCATCTATATATTGGGCATAACATTGCATGATATGGAATACTCCATTGGGCAATTTATCCCTCAATCTCAGATTAATCTAAGTTCAAATCATATGGGGAGTTTTTGGCCCTTTGTCCCAGCTATGTTTCCCCCCAGCCTATTGGGCTCCTGCACACTGGCAAAAAAATGGAAAGCTGAAAGGTCCTTGTTGTCTTAGTGCCAACTGTAGATATCTGTGTGCTATCAACATTCTTCTCATAACAAATTTCAGACTAAATCCAAAACACAGAACTTTTCTAGCTGCTAAAAAGAAAATCTAACTCCATCCCAGTCAAAATCAGGACAGGCTGTTGCCTTAAAAACAATATTACCATTTTTGGGTTAGGTAGTCTATTTTGTGTTTCTCTAATAAGGACAGGTTTTTGGTAGGACCAAAAATCTTGACTTCAGTCTGCTTTAGATCAGAAACTTCATAGTTTCATAATTTGTACTGCTTTTTAACAGTCTCTTGGGTACTTTCCATGCCGTAGGCAGTTACAAAGCACCTCTGTGGTAACTGGGTGACTATTTGCCTGGCAGTGACCCATTAGGCAATGTTAAATCTATTTTTAGCTTTTATTCAGTAAGCTAGGGAGAAAGAAGGAAGCCACCACTATGTGACTGCTAGCTGTCCGTGGGTCGTTGGGGAGAGTTTAGTTGGCTAAGGTTGAAGAACTTCTGCTGTAGACCAGGTTTAGAAAGTTTGATCAAGACATATAGCCATGGTTGAGGAGCAGTTTACAGTAGTATTTGAGATCATACTTGTAGCAGAGTTTCATGATGCAATTGTGTTTGTAATTTAGGTAAGAACTTGATATCAGAAGCTGTAGCTGCTTGGAAGAGGGTATATGAATTAATCCCGAGAGAAAGGTATTTGTGAACAGAGATCCTGGTGCCCAGAATTTCTTGAAGAAATTCTAATTTCTTTCAAAGTCTTTGTTATAATTTGTCATAATGTTCCTCTTTCTGAGGTATTCAAATGTATCCTCTTCTTGAATGGACACAACCAAGGTTGTGTTGATTGCGAAGAACACGTTTCCAGTGCCTTCCTCTTTTTGTGTCTTTTGCTCTTGAAAAAAGTGCCCACTTGTTTTGCCTTTGTACTTCTGCTAGGAACATCTGCCCAACAACTGGATGCATCCTTCAGTACAAATGCCACTTTGGAAATATTCGAGGTTGACTTTAGGGATCCCTCTCTGGACATGAAGCAGAAAGGAACACTTCCTGCCTCAAACAGGTACTAGAAAGTTGTACTGACGTATCAATCAGTGGAACTGAAGAGGGCTTTTCTGATACAAGAAAGGAGAGGAGGAGATCATATTTTGGGGATATAAAGTGATCTTTTGGATTGGTTGACTTCGTCTTCAAGAATTGAACATTTTTGTGAACACAAATCGTGTTGGGTGTAAAAGTACAGCAGTTGGGCCATTGGAAAAGTCCGAAAGGACTTACATGATAGTCAGTCAGGAGAGTCATTGCATAGCATGTGAATTTGCTGGGGCTAATGACTTGCATAAAGAAACTAGAGACAGAGTGAAACTTGTATTCCAGCTTTTTAAGACAAGGCAATTTCTTAGGCTTGTCAGTGTGGGTGACATTTGTACCCAGTGTAAAACACAGCCTTGATTTGTAACTAGCAGCTTTTACAGTGGGTAAACCTCTTTTTCAGATAATAGCTCTGGAAAAGAAGGCATGTAGTCCTGTAATCTGGTTTTCTATATAGTGTAGGTTGGAGGAGTTCACTCACCAAATCTCATATAAGATCCTAAATGTTTTAAGGTGGAGGAAAGGCAGGGAGGAAAAGGAAAAAAGAAGAAGAAAAAGAAAAAATAAAAGGGGAAAAAGTAAAAAAAAAAAGAGACAGACTACCTCTTCCTTTATAAATTCGCTTTAAAAGTCTTTGTTTGTTTTTTTCCATGTAAGAGGCACAGTCATCTTCAAAGGAAAATGATTATTTAAGGTGCAGACTGATGGTTTAGTTTGATAGGTCAGAACATGGATGTGGTTTCTGGTAATACAGAGGGTCTTCTGACTTGAACCAAATATTGTGCCCTACCGCAGTTTTACTTTCTTCTTTTTTAGGTTTCATAAGCTGATCTGGGGTAACTTTGGAAATGGGTCCCCAGAGTCCTCTGGAGTTATTGTTGGTGGAGGGGATAATGGTGTACTGACAATGTACAGTGTACACCGCATCTTGGCTTCAAAGAGTGAGCCTGTAATTGGGCAGACAGAGAAGCATTCAGGTCCTGTTCGAGCTCTTGACTTCAATCCTTTCCAGGTATGCAACTTTAAGATGCTTACAAACAAATGAAAGTTAACCTCTGTATTAAAAAATATGTTTTTCTCTTATTAGAGATTTATAAACTGAAGGAAAAATTTTTAACCTGAAAGAGGTGTGGTAAGAGTGACACAAGACTGGTTTGAGACTCGAATTCGGGTTCTGATCACAGCTTTGCCACTGAATTCCCCTATGACCTTGATCAAGTCTCTTACCTCTATTTAAAAATGTGTCTTGTAATAGTGTTACATGTTAGACCATTACCCATTTGAAATCAGAACTAACTTTTATTTATTCATTTGGTGTCTAATTCAGCGGAGCTCTGATCATGCTTGAAGGGACTGCAACATAAGTGACTAGTGAACAGAACACAAGTTCTCATGGTAGCACAAAGGCCAACTGAAAATTGTCTGCAGACCCTTCTTGTGGGAAGGCTGCATCTTCTTAAAACAGATGTTCTTGGTGCCAGGATGCAGGGCAAAGGCTCACCTCGCTAGAGGCAGAGGCTTCCAGGCCTGTGGCAGAGTTTCATGATGAACACCAGCCACCTGCACGTGTAGCTTGCTAGACAAATTTTAAACACCTCCGTACCATGGCACAGCCGAAGGCACTGAGGCCAGAAATGTGCTTGGTTTATAATCCAGTTAGTATCCGTCTGCGTACCAGTGGCTGTGAAATGCAGCTCTCATCGGACTTCGGAAGCTTTTGAGTT